AAAAGAAAAGAAGGCTTTAAAATGAATGTGGTTGTTTGAAAAGCAGTAAATAAAGATACAACAACAACAGCTTAAAATGGAAATACTCAAATGAAGTACCAGAACCTCAGAAGTGCACTTAAGTATTCGGTTAATTGAGGCTCGGTGGACGTCAACCACCCAGAGGGGTTTCAGGTGTTGTACCTGTTGTGGCTGGATCTGAGTTAACAGACACATCTCTTGAAACACATACTTAAACAGCTGGTATCGAGAGTGAGGTCAAACATGAAGTATTTTCATCAGCTCGCTATTTAAAAGCAAATGTGTTTGTTCCCCCTCATGAACTGGATGTTAGAATAAGATAAATCCATTTCACAGGCTTATGTAAAGAAGGACCTTTTTTTCAGTTCTCTTAATGAGTCATATCTTCAGATCCACATCGATATATATTTATACATTTCTGGGCAGTTTATGAATTTGTTCATTACTTCTCTCACCATGTGTTTCTCAGTTCCTCTCACGTGGCGCTCAGTTGTCTGGGACTCGCCTTTACATCTGTGTGAACCAGTGTGAATTCATGAGATCATTCTTATTTCTGGTGCTGAACTTCTCACTATGATGACATGTCCACACATGCGTCATCACCAGCTATATTTACTGAATAGAACTTCTTCACAGCTCCCTGGCACTTCTCAGTTCAAATGATACCTGGATGTAAAACTGCAGAAATCCGTAAAACACACAGACACAGAAGCCAAAGGCGTCTGTGTTATTATTAGTGACGTTCAACAGATACAGAATAGAATTATACCGTCTCAATAAAATCATATTACATCTATGATCAAATATAGAATCAGAATTGTAGTTGTAGGTTTTCATGTACAGGGAATTTAAAGCAAATTTAAAGTAATGACTGTGATTTTAAGGAGAACATTTGAGTGAAAATAATAAAACATGACTGATTGAGAAGAAAGTGTTTTAACCCTCAACAGTACAGGATGTGCATTTCCCCACTGCGGATATCCCACACATCCATAAATCTCTCTGAACGAGGCGCATCAGCTTCTGTGTCAGCAGCTCGGTCATAAAACACTGTCAAAAAACCTTGCTATGTTTCCCTCTAGAGGCTGAAAGGATTCTTGCATCCCATAAAAGCACTCTGCTTAGGTATGAATGTGCTCAGTGTGTTTCTACAGTTGTTTATAAAAATGATGGCTTACCTTCTGATGATGTCTTAAGGAGCTGAAGGAAAGTTGACTGAAGGCTTCAAATGCAGTGGTTCATCTCCTGGGAAGGATGAAGATGCTGAGTGAATGTCAGGTTAATCTTCGTAGAGTTTCATACATGTACACATAGATAATGAAGGTCAAGGGGTCAACAAACCCAACATCTGGATTGATCCTCTGGGGACCGTCAAAATCCACAGCACACTTTATAAAAACCCAAGCTCATAACTTCTGACGTTACTAATTGACTTATCAGGTCAAGGAGAGAGCTGGATCTGACAGAGGCCCTCAGGAACAAGAGGGTGCCACAATATCATCTCCTGAGGATCATGAAAATTGAATTGTAAAATGCTCACATTTATAAGCCATGTCATTTTAAGGGCAAGGTTAAGCAAAGGGCCGAGCTGGAAGGCACAGTGAGTCACAGGCAGCTTTATTTAACCCAAAATGTCAAAAGCTATTTACAAAAATCATGTAATAAAGTTATTATGGGCTAATTAAAGAAGTCAAATGAATATATAACTAAAGATGAGGAACCATGGCTCCTCTTTGCCCTCAGGTTTAATCTGCCCCCTGCTGGAGGCCTCTTGTCTATAAAGTGTTATTTGCCAGGAGATATCTGTAATATATCGAACCTGTCTGTGGAGATTCTCACGGTCCCCTCCCTGTTGGCGGCCACACCAGTTCAGCAAGTTTTTGTTAGGCAGAGGACCTAAAAAAACATGTGCTACATGTGATACTCACAACCGACTTTCACCAGAAACTGATAAGATACTTCATGTTGCTGCACCAGGATCTCATGTATTTTTGCAGGAACTTGGCCTCAAACAGATCAGACACGGCCAAGCTTGTGATTATTCTGGGATCAGTTGTGCAGCTGTTGTATTTAACTGCTGTCAGACTAGTTGTCATAATAGTGATACTTACAAAAGTAATGCTGCGGTTGCAGCTCCAAAACTTTGCTCCTCTGTGCTCTACTTTTATTTAGCTTCTTATTGCTTTTGCTTAAAATAATATGCTCTTGTAACTTTTAGTTAAATGCTATTTTACATGTTGTGTATGCTCCGCTGTATTCTAATCAATGCTTACTACAGTCTTTAATATAGTTGAACTCATTCAGATTCAGATTCTTTTATTTTTATTCTCACATTATTCATTGTATGTGTTCAAGTGTTCATGTGACACAGCTCCATATTGTTATTTCTCTTTGTAAACTCTGTTTTAAAAAAGTGCTACGGAATTAAAGTTGATTATTTCTTTGAACTTTGTTTGAAAGTTGCTGTATGAATGAAAGTTTCATCGGTTGACTCACTCCCACTCTGCTCACCTTTGGAATATATTGTAATAAGTAATAAGATATAATAAAGAGGAATAAAACACACGAGGTGGCGACGCTTCCGTCACCGAGCAGCCAATCACAATCTCCGTACCTCGATTTGAACCAATGGTGTTAGAGAACAGGAGTGACGCTCCTCCCCGTCACTTCCTCCATTCAGCTCCGGTTCTCCTTCCGCCCCTGACACCGTGAGCAGCTCCTCACTCCGCCGGGTCACACCGTCTCCTCAGCCCGACATGGATTTCTCCATCCGCGCCTCCAACGTGGAGGACTGTAAGGACATCGCGCGCATGATCATGGTGAGGGGGGGCTGTATGTATGTCACACATGTCACGTCACTTCCTCTTCACATGTAGGGTGATGTTGTTATTATTAGATCACACGCACACACACACACACACACACACACACACCTCCTTATTTACCATATTATATATTATAATTATATATATTAATAGACTGGGACTATATGTATGGTATTTGGATATATATCAGGAATAAAAAAATTAATGGTGACTTATGATATTTATCTTTTTGCTCCCGTTGCAGGAATTGGCTGAATATGAGAAAGTAACAGACCATGTGAAAGTCACACAGAAAGGTAACTGTACTGTCTAACCTGTCCTGACAGTAAAATATATTCGACCTTCATAAAAAGTGGAGGTCAGAGAATACAACAGCAGGGATGGAAATGGGGCTTGGCGATTAAACGAAATCAATATTTATCATAATATACATGATAATATTTATTTATAGTGTAAATGATTCTTACTGTTACTGTTTCATCACCCGGTGATATATTTCTATTTCTGCTGTTAAATATGAACTCATCTGTCTTGACGTTACATTAAAATGGATTTGACCTTCATAAAAACAAGGTGAACTTCAGTGGAGGAGAACATCAGACATGAGAGGTTTCACACAAAATATCCCCATAGGGTCCATCTAGTTAATGTTCTGTATTTTATTTTTAGTATGGCTTTGTCATTCTGGAGTTCTAGATGATTGTGTGATAAGATCGGCTACTGAATGGATCTTGGACATTCAGTATAAACATTTGCAAATTTGGAACAATTCCAAAACAACCGTTTACAAGCTGATAAACCAGATGAATCAATATAACACTCCCATCTATCTTTTGTATTAAGGCATAATGCATACAACATCTAGAATCATCATTCATAATAAGTAAATGTTTAACTTCACAGAAAGCAAAGAATCTAGAGAACCAGCCTATTATTTACACGTACCTCTTGCTTTTTACCCGCAGACTTGGAGCAGGATGGTTTCTCCAAGAACCCGTTCTTCCATGGGATCATTGCTGAGGTACCAGAACAGCACAAAACCAAAGAAGGTGAGAGGGAGAGAGAACCATCAGTGACAGTGTTTACTTAAAAAATGTCAAAAACTAGCGAGCAACAGCAACAACTAAATGCACAAGAGAGGCAGGAAGAAGTGAACACAGGTGAAACACATCAGGGCGAGGCAGCCAATCACAGAGGAGGGAACCCAGAACCCCTCGCCCGAACAACAGGAAACGACCACCCAATTTTAACATAATTTACATTCAGATCTTCAGCACTCACAAAGCTCTTGTTGCTGCATATTGATCGATTGGTGATAGAGGATCTGTTTCAAAGTGCTTCCTCTAGAAAGCTTCTTCATCGCAGACGTATTGACGTGTAACACTAGGTCCTATGTTTTCGTCCTACGACTAAACAGAAATTGTGGTTTACAGCTGCAACGTTCACTGTCCAAGGACAAGACCTGATAAGATTCCTCCGTCACCGCCGAAGATGCTGCGTTTGCACTAATGTGCAATTAATCATTTGAACAGAACAGAGCCATTGTTAAAGAAAGTCTGTGTTTTCCATGTAAATGGCCCCAACGCAGTGGATGATAACTTAAGACTGATCCACAATCTGTCGGCTAATGAGATCAATTCATAAAGTTCCAAACAGAAAACATTTAAAAAAGGATAAACAGTTATGAGCAAAAATAACACAAAAAATCTTCTCCCTTAACTTCGCACTAACTTGTCGTTGTTGACGTTTTTTTTTACAGGTCATACGAAGATAGGATATGCACTTTACTTCTACGCCTACAGCTCGTGGTCGGGCAGAGCCATTTATATGGAGGACCTGTACGTGATGCCAGAGTTCAGAGGTAGAGTCTTAAAAACAGAGTGTCGTCAATAGAATTTGTGATGAAGAACAAAAAGTCAATAAATAATATATCTGTTCAGATGAGTAAGTCATAATAATAATGTGGATTCTCTCTTTCAGGGAAGGGCATTGGTAAAGCACTCATGAGCAAGGTGGCACAGGTGAGTAAGAAGTACTGTTGACATTGACTTATCCATTATGTCATCACAGCACAACTTGTGACCGTCTTCTCATTTCATTTCGCCGTCTTGAAGCTGGGCCTGGCTGCCGGCTGCAACCAGCTCAGTTTCACTGTTGTAGACTGGAACAAATCCTCCCTGGACTTTTACCTAAGCCAGGGCTGTTATGATGTGACCGATAAGATGGGCTACCACTGTATGCGCTGCGAGGGAGAGGCCCTGGAGCACCTGGCCCAACCGTAACATGGCGTCTCAACCTGGGTCACCATGAGTTCAACCTACACAGTGCAGGGATATAGACTCAGACTACGGATTTCTGGAAAAAGTACGTCATGATAATAATTGACTGTTTGTCAAGCTCTCTTCATTTCTACCTTAATTTTTGCTTTTGTTTGGGGAAATTACAACAATGGCCGAGATGAGCAGCTGTATTTAGTATTTTGGTGGCATTAGCGGATTCTCACTCCCTGGGTTGATTAAAAATCCTGTTTATAATCAATTTCTTTGATGATTCCAGGCTTGTAAAACATCTGCACATGTTGGCAGCACACAGGATTTAATGCTTAAAGCTGAGGTATTTGTATTTGGTTAGCAGGAGCATTTAGCATAGCTTTTTAAATAAAAACACAGTTAAAATATGTAAGACAAGTCAAAATCGGACTTTTCTTACACAACCTGTAGACCCACAAAACACATTCCTACTGAAATCATTGGGTAGTTATCTTAGCATGCTAACGCCGACAGCTTAAGTTGGGGTAGATAAACACACCATACATAAGAGTAATTCAAATCTTTGTCTTCTTTGTTTTTATATTAAATCATCACAAACACCACTTCAACTCGGAGAAATTCATGTAGTGCCCAGTAACTGTTGCCAAACTGTGATTGGCCAACCGCTGTTTGCAGGAGGGGCTCAGCAAACACTTGATTGGCTCAATATTTGAATAATCAAGGATGCGGTTTTAAGTATTGTAATGGGGCCTTTGCAAAAACATTTACATAGTTTATAATTGAGGGACCTTAATCTGTGTTATATGTGGTGTTAGGTGATAACCTAACATCTTGGGTGTGGGTGTGTTGTGGGGGGCTGTATTTCTTAGATCTTCAGAGAAAGTCTGAACGTTAAGTGTAAAACGTCCTCATCCAGAAGTGAAATTATTTTTTGCACAAAGATCCAGGAAAACAGGATGCACGTTTTATTGTTCGACTGTTGAAATAAAAAGTGAGTTTTTGGTATCCTGTCCCTTTAAGTGTATAATTAACTATGGCAACAGCAACCAAAGAGTAAGTCACCCCTCCACTGTAAAGCTGTTGTGATACAAGTGTTGGCATTTGCACTATTCTCTTCCTTGTCAAGCTATGTACATAGATGGTTGTGAGGGTAATCAAAGTGTGCACCAAAGGAATCAGTGGGATTGAACTTAAAACCTCCTTCCACGCTGCCAAACAGCAAAGTCTCTGGGCTGGTTTCAAAGACGTGGATACAAGTCAGAATCAAACAAAAACGATCCATCTGGTGGAATCTGAAAAACAAAAGAAAATCTTGGACTGGGCTCGGTGCGCGTCTTTAAACCTGTCCAGCTAAAATGAAAGTGGCACAACTCTGGGCTTCAATTCTGTTTTATATCCAGTGAAATAAAAAATAAAAAAAGAGGACTTTTTGTATCACGTCCAGCCATTTACTGAAAACACTCAGAGTTATATTTAGTTTGTTTTCTCTCACTCTAAACAAGTAAGAACCACTAACCCTCCTTTGTAGCTTTTGCAATTTTCATTTATTTTCATACTTTGTTTACGAAATAATTGAGTGAGGAATGTGAAGTTGTTTTTCTCCGTCTTTAGGACATTGTGTGGTAAAATAATCAACGTGGAAAAGTATATTTGGTGCATTGTCATCCATGTTGTTGCAGAGTGCAGGAGACAAAGATCAATAGAGTCCAGGGGAAGATGAGGAGATATCGGCAACTTCTCACCAGGATGAGCCAGACATATAAATTATTCAACGTGTAACTCTGTTTCCTCAGTGGATTCCACCAAATCCCGATTCCTGTCACATCCACTGAGATCTTTGCAATAAATCAACTTTAAATGTGCAACGTGAAGACTTTTAAATGTTGATTACGAGTTTAGTGAGCAGGGTGTGTTCCAACAATCAGTAGTTAAGTAGATAAAACAATATGTTGATGTCTTGAGCTTGTTTCCTCAACTTTGGTGCTGTGGTGCCTAAATGTGTGTGATACCCAACGTGCCACATGTTCATATTCACGTGATGAGTTAGTAAGTGTGTTTTCAAATGTTTCGGACGTTGTCTCTGGAATACGTAGCATTGCGCCGAGTCTCATTTGCTCTTCCAGAAATCATTATTCTATAAATGCATCAGAAAAAACCAAAAGCCATATTAGCGTTAGCCTAGAACCTGCATGAAATTCAAATGTTGGTTTCATAAAAGAACTTCAGGCTTCCGTTCTTTCTTAAAGGTTTCAACAAAAGTTTGTGTTTGATTTTGTATTTGTTTGATTTGTTTAGTAGTTAAGGAATAAAACCTGTGAGACTGTAGCTAAATAAAATCATCTGTTGTGTGAATATAAACAGAATCTGTTTCGACTTCGTTTCTTCCTTCTGACTAAATTCGTCCATATAATCGTTTATTAATAATTTGCTTGGAGTAATTGGAAAAATAGATGACAAATTATTTATATCCAGTGTAAAACTCTTGGGGCATTATTCATATCCACTATCCCTTTTGTCTGGGAAACACTATCTATACGTACGCTGCAAAATAGAATATACACTCATGTTAAAAATAGAGATGTTGTGTACTGCTTTAACAAAAGGAAGTAGGAACACATTACTAAGTTGCATTAAGAATAATAAATGGATTAGAAAGCTGCATGTGCCAATGTTGCCATGACCACCTGCTGTGTCTGCTCCCTCCCTCTGCTCGCCTGTCTCAACCATCACCATTCCCCCTGCAAGAAACGTTAAAGACCCATTACCTTTTCCACCCCTGCGTCTGCTTCTGGGTCCAACTAAACAGAAAGCCTGACATGTTGTGTGGTTGATGAGTTGAATGTTTGCATACTTCTTGAACACCAACACCAGTTTTCTGTTGTGTTTCTGTTTCATCCAACGAGGATGCTGGTAAGATGCAAAACACATTTCCTCTGATGGCTTCAGGCTGTTTCACAGATCAACAGTAGATGGTGGTAACACGCCAATGAAAGGCAGCAATAAGCCAACGCAGGCAAGAAAGATGTTTGCTAGCAAGCAGACATGAACAATCAAAGTTTCAGATTCAACCACAAATTGGCTTTTGCAAATGTTTTTGAGAATCCTGGGAAACATATTTTGCACAACTTTGTGTTTTTTAAACAATCCACTGAATTAAAACAGAAGAAGCTGTCTCAAGCTATAACTCAGTTTAATTTTTAACTCTTGCTTAATCTCAGGTTTCAAAATCCGCATAACGGTTGACAGGTTGAATCAAGTCTCAAGTGTGGAAACAATACAAATCTATTATTCAGAACTTGTTTCCCTCTTTTCAGACTTATTCTGCACAACAAACTCTCACCTCCCCAGGCTTCAACTTTTCAAACTAAACAGAAGACCTGCTTGGTGTGAATGGATGAAAAGCACAACAGGTTTGGGAAAACATTGTTTTAGAGAGGCTGCATCACCTCGAGCCAAAATGCTTTTCATTCTTGTATAAAAGGTCGTTAGTAAAATACTGCACAGCTAATGTATGAAGCAATCCACAAGTTACACCCACACAGGAGTCAGAATTAATTTGAAGCTAGAGAGAGCCAAAACAAGCTCATGAGAATAAATAAGTTTAGAAAAGGGGCAAATATTTTAAAAAGAGATTTGATTAACTCTATTTATTGATGTCTTGTTTTGAACCAAATTTCTTGTGGATATTAAATTATTTGAGGGAAAGAAAGATCCTCAACCAACAGACTGAGGAACAGCTTCTGCAGACATGTGACCCCCATCACACCAAACACTGTTAACACACCTTCAGAGACTGTGACCCACACACATGTACAACCCACCACACTCCATCCACAGGGAACCATCTATATTTTCTATACAATATTATTTACTGTGATTATTGCTGTTCTCTATATTATTATACTTTTATAATAATATAAATCTGGACTAGAGGAGGCCTCTAACAGTTTCATTGTGCCTGAGTACGATGACAATTAAGATCTTTGAATCTTGAATGTTCTCGTGGACCGAAATTAACCAGTTTACACTTTAGGTAATTTATAATTTTGCAGGATAATGAATTAAAGAAAAGCATTCTATACTTTTCCCCACATGCTGGTAGCCTTTACTTATACACCACCGCCACCGCGTGGTTGCACGGGGAAGTGTTCCACGCGTGAATGGCACATATTTTAAGGCAATGCGACTTGATGAAAGTAACCGAGACGCCGAGGAAGTGGCCGATGTTTTCCCTGCGCTCGCCTTGTCGGTTTTTTACTGCGGATGCCAGCTGCTATCACAACATCAGAGTTCACCTCCGAGTCTCTGTGCGTAATGCGTGCGTGCCTGTGCGTAAAACCCGCGCACTGCCCCGCGTGCGCTGAGAAGCAGCAGCAGCAGCAGCAGCAGCAGTCAGTCAGTCTCTCTAATGGAGTGACCCCCCAGCTCGCTGGCTGAAGGGAAGACAAGAGCGCTGAGTCAACGAATCACAGCGAGAAGGATGCAACAGTTGATGTGCGCAATTTGCACAGTTTTCGGCCTGCACGCACTCGGAGGATGGTGGTTCGGATGCGTGTGGAGGAAGGATCGGGTGTTTCTGTCGCTCTGAACCCACTTCATCAGTCAGATTAAGGGGAGAATTAAACGCATCTTTCCCTTGCTGGTGTTGCAGTTACGCGCTGCCTGTGCCACTTTTGCGCGTCTTTTCCCACCAGAATGGACATTTGGACAGGAGCGCATTCGGAGGGACTCGGCGCTCCGCTGGAATGGAGCTGAAGTGCGGATCTCGGGTGGTCTGCGGCGGCGAGTAGCAGCGCGGTCCCCTGCGCCAACGATGCATCGGATTCTGCAGAGGAGGCGAGTGCGCAAGCTGCGGGTCGTCTGGGCGTCTCTGGCCCTGGTGGCGCTGTCCCTGGCGGCGTGCAGCGCGCTGTTCACGGCGTGGACTTGGAGACAGACGCGGGACCTGTCTCAGTCCTTCAAGGTCTTGCAGGACCGATTGGAGCAGGTTTGTGTCACACTTTTAAAAACAGTTCAACCCTGCAGACCCCCTCCACCCCCCTCTCCATTAGTAGCATGCACATTTCCCGCTACAATATTATCGTTTACGCACCATCAAGTGTTTGTTATGTAACTTCGTCTGTGTCTGCGGTTACGGGAATCATCGTGGGGGGTGCACGGAAAAAATGCAAGTCCACACTTCAGCCCCATTCTCCCCCCCTCCCGTGCACGTACTCCACTATTGTATTGCACCATTTCTCTTCTTGGCACTTTTATTGCTTACCAATAAGACCAGTCAAGTTGTGTGCTTATGTTGTGTGTGCGCCCCCTTCCTCCTCCTCCTCCTCTTCCTCCTCCTCCAGAGATTAATTACTCTGGTGCCAGTTGTGCTCCAGTTTTATCTCAATTTACTGGAAAGCCTCAGCTACTTGGCATGTGAGCACTTTATACCCAACTGGCTGCTGCTGTGGCTGCAGGCCTGAAAAGTGTGGCAAGTGTAAATCATCTGCAGAAAGCTTGAGCCTCTTCTCATGCATGGGTTCGGGATGAAGTGTCGTTTGGAATTTTACAGGAATGAGTCGAAAATTCTGTGCAGACTCGTGCAAAGTGCAGCTTTTTAAACTTCTTGTCAGACTCCGGCATGAGGTTGCATCACAAGGTGAATTATTTCTAAAAGCAGCCAAAAAGGAGCTGATGGAAATTCTTCTGGTTTCTAGTTCACAGTGCTTACAAACCCAGGTTGCACTGGATTTGAGATCAGGGGGACAGCACATTGGCTGTGTATCATATTGACAGACATGCAAGCACACACACACATGCATGAGTTTCTCCCACACACACACAAACACCCCAAAACTGGACACGTGGAGTGTTGATGCTGGAGCCTTTCCCAAGGGGCCCCACGTTCTGTCCATTTGACCGTTCGCCAACTCCTGATGAGAGCCAGTGAGTGAACGTCTGGAGAGTGAGGAGCAACTCGCTGCCGACATTTCCACAGTAGCAGTAAATTTAAAACACACTTTTCCCTGAGCCACTTCTACTTCTACTTTATATAGGCCTCCCTCCGTCAGTCAGCGGAGCCCCGAGCCAAGAGTTTCAAACATTGCCTCTTCGACAAAACTAATTTCTTAATGAAAAACTGGGAAGCAAAGACATGTGAGGAATGCAAAGCACTAAAAACACGCATTAGGTGTCGCAACCAGTCTCGGAGGAAGTGGTAGACCTATTCTGAAGCGAGCATGGCAGCAGGGGCAGGATCCTGGAAAAGATGAGACTGTTTATGTGGCTGGCTGGCTGGAGGAGGCCGCGTAGGATGTGTGCCAGAAAACAGTCATAACAAACTCATTGGACGTTTGTTAATAGTGTGGTTTCTTTTTCTCTCTTTCAACAGGTGAATACACAGAGGAAGGCCATCGTCCAGCTCATTCTGGAGAAGAGAGAGCTGCTGGTGGGGCAAAGAGTGAAGAGAGACGGTATATTGAAAATCAAAAAAAATTCCTCCTGTGCTGCATTTTCTTGCCTCCAGCACCACCGGCATATGTCGCCGTTCTGTGCTTTCCAGCCGTCCAAATCACCACAGACACAATATACTTACCAACTGCACTCTTGTTGTTTTTCTGGGAAGAACATTTAACACAAACGCTGGCCAGCCTTGGCCCACATGCCACTATGGTCAGGTCTAGCGGGCCACAGGCACTACCCGCTGCTAAAAGTTGACACAGGAAAAAGTAGGCAGCTGGATGACTGTTCCAGAAATTACAGGTCTGACCAGAGCGGCCTCGGAGCCCAGAAAACCAGCTGGCGCGGGAGTGAGGCCTTGTTGCACGCTTTTGGGCAATGAAATAGATTTTTTTCTTTCCCCCCCTGAGCACACGACTGACAC